CATGTTTCTGCCCAGCAGGGTTCTCAATGTTCAGTAACAGCCAGTTGGTGCTGCTATGCAGTAAGACTGACTCAGCATTCAGAGTAAACCCCCTCCTACCACCACAACCTCTCTTTATCTCTCTCTCTCTCTTTTCCTACTTAATTACCCCACAATCTCTCTAGCAAAAATAATTTAACCACTCATTTGCTGGATAGCAGTGGACCGCAGGAATATAGAAAGTCCCATAGAGTCCCATAAGTCCCATAGTCCCATAAATAAAACTAAAATCTGTCACTAGTGCAATTCATGATGTGTAATATTACTGATTTAACATTTTATGCCATATCATCAATTTTTAAAATGTATAAAGGGTGTTTGCTCTAAGCATGTTTACTTACATCCACACATTTTTATGAAAATTTTAGAATTTTGCCTAAAAAAAACTGAATGGAAAAACGTCAATGTGAATATGCACATAAAATTTTTAGGCTTGTGTTATTTTAAGTGAGATCTTTAAGTGATCTCTAATCTTTAAGTGAGATTAGTTTTTATTTTTATATTTTCTGTTTTCAATTTAATTTTAGTTTTAGAAATTTGTGTTGTGTTGTGTTGTGTTATTTTTAATATGTCTATATAGTTTTTATTAAATTTTATTTCAGTTCTAGTTTTATTTATTTTAGTACCATTTTAATATCAAGTTAAACGAAATTAAAATGAGAAATGCTGAATAGCTGAAATAAAATAGGTATAAGGTTTTTTTTATATTTTATATATATATATATATATTTATTTTTTTTTTAGTTTAAGCTTTAATTTGAGTTTTAGTTAATTATAATAATCCTGATCTATGCTCATTTGAGGTGGATAAAGTTTTAAATTGGTAAGAAGTGCATAAACTGATGGAAACGCGTGTACCAAATAAATTAAATAGATGTCCATCAGAAAGTCACGTGACTGAATAATTTACTCAGATTTTTGACTACTATCACCATGTCACTGCTCATTCTCACTGCAAACTGCAAACTAAGGTGTTTATTTGTCCAGATAATGCTGTGTAACACCACTAACCTGCAAAGTTCCGTGTGAAAACTAATGTGACCAGCAGTATAGGGATGATGACAGTTCCTATGGTGACAACCCGGTCAAAAGGCAACTCTAGTTTGAGTTGCACCATGAGACCCGCCAGCACACCGCCCTTCTCATCCTGTGTGGAACCCGGCAGGATCAACTCCTTCAACTTCTCACCCGCAAGCAGAGCCGTGGCCATGTCCAAGTTCTGCTCGAGGATGTTCTGCATTCGGCACCAGCAGCCCGCTCGCCACTAACCTCACAACACTCCTGATGGGACCTGAAGCTCCTCCTCCTTCTCCCAACCCGTCAGCCACTGGATTGGCTGAGGGCTTTTCCCTGCAACAATAATATGAGTTATATGTAAGAGGTCTTGACTTGAAGGATGAAAGTGGATCTTCTAAGAGTCACAAAGGAAGCTTTGCGGTCAGCCTGAGTTGATGGGTTATTGATGGCTGATCTTGTCAGAGGTAGATTGAAGAGAGGAAAATCAGAGTTGATGTGTTGCTTATATTGACAGCTGGGATGAATTTCTCATCATATCTATTCCACTTCTGCAAAAACCTGTAAATGAACAAGAGAGTTAACAGATACTGACTATCAAGAAAAAGTAAAGCTACTGTAAAACTGTAAAGTTAATGTAAACTGTAAAAGTAAATTGCATTTGTTTCTGGCTGCATGTTCAGACTCTATGAAAGTGCATGTTCCTTTAATTCAGTAACCAGTGGAGTGTGCTTATCTGCAGAGTCTTTTGAGAGCGTGCAATAGTGACAAGGACAAAAAGACACAATGACATCCTACTAGAGGTTGAATCATTCAAGACAGTCCAGATTAGATTACAACGATGGTACACTGTTGTTCTTTAACTCATTGGAAAAATTTACGGCATTATTTCTGAACTACAGATGGAAGCTTAATATGCTGCAGAGCGTCTTTGCCCACAGTATAAAAACACAGACAAGAAAATAGCTGTTGTACATTTTGAAAATCAATAGATCTCGCTTTGAGCTCAAGAAATCAATAAGGAATGGCTTTCTAACAAATGGAAAGAGCAACAAAAATGGCAGGAACCCCATGTTCATAAGTTAACTTTATTTTTGGGATAAAGTAAATCAGTTTTTCAACTGAATGACTATAGATGTTTTATGTTTATCTAAAATTTTAACTAAACAATGTCTTTATGGTCAGAGCTGTGGCAAAGAAGGTAGTGAACTGTTGTGACATACAAAAAGTTGGTGTGTTTGTGATTGACTTGGTTTTATTTATGCAACTAAATAATAATATTAATATAGGTTTTTATTAAAATATTTAATAAATGCAAAAAGCCAAACAAATATCTAAATTTGTTTTGATTTTTAAAAAATAAATAATAAATATTTAATTAAATTTAATTCATATTCAACCTGTAACATAAATAACTGTTTGTATTAAATGCAAGGTTAAATATCTTTGGGTAATATTATATTTCATTGGATGTTGACCAGTACCCTCACTCCATCTGCATTAAAGTAAAAAAAAAAAAGTGTTATTTTTTTTTCAATGTGGTTGAAAAATCCTGTTACCATGCACCTAGACTGGTTGAGTATCATTCATATGGTAGATAAAATACACTGCACCCTGTTACATATATACCATAGCCACTGAGGTCAATATTATGATTTGTCATTGACTGATATGTTTTTCAATATTTAGCTTTTAAATTATTACAATTGGTGCTGCCAATCTTAAATACAGTATATGCTGATATAAAACACTAATAATTTACTTATGCCAAGCACAGATTAAGCTTGTATTTGTCACTTTGGCTTAGCTAGGGATAATAGAGACCCTCTAAGAGACACTAGAAAGAAGACTGAAAACTCCTTTCACAGCAGGTTTGATAAAACTCTCAAACAAGTTGATAGTGATTAGGAATGTGTCATGCAAACTTAATGCAACAGCATGCAGTAGTATCTTTTAAGGTAAAACACCCTCAGATATAATCTAGCTTTATTGACAATGCTGTAACGACACTGCCGACATATTGACATTCTGACAGTAAATGTTTAAAAAGCATTAAAGGTCATGCGGTGCACATCACTTACGCTCGGTCGAGGAGCTGTCCATCCCTGGATCATCTGGCTAGGATGACACATAGCGGTTTAAGACATATATACGATCAAATATACGATACTATATACGACATGAGTGAAAAAAAGAGACGGAGAGGATTGGATTGCTTTGACTCTAATCTTCATGATGTCACATACCTGTCAGATTACTCGATTATACTGAGGAACACGCAGAGCCTGAATCCGATGCTCAAATCATTGACATCAGGAAATATCTCCCCACAACGACCAACAGACCTAATCTGCAGTGCGGGCGAGCCGTTTCAGCGTGTATCCGGACACACACCGGTTTGTTCCGCCTCTCGCCATCCCTCTCACCCTCCCCTGACAAACCTCACACAGACACACTTCTTCAGTTTACACCATCATCTTCACACAGACCTTCAAGGAGATTCATTGTCATCGCTTGTTTGCCTTACACGAGACTACAGTATCGTTAGTATGCGTGTGTGGAAACGGAAGTAAAATCTGCTTAATTAAAAGGCAACATTATGAAATTATAAAGATATGTATTAGATTCAACTTTTTTTCCAGTATGGTCTACTGCTGTCCTGTATTTGTAGTCGGTTTTGTTTTGCATTATACTGTATGTTATTGTGCATTAAAAATCCTCCAGCCCAGGCATAACATTCTATTCTATTCTATTCATCATTTTTTATGTTACTGTAGTGTGAAATCTGGAAAGATCTTTAGGTTACAGTGTAGTAGCTTTTATTTTTGTCATATTATACTTTTTATTTTTATAACCAATGTTTTTTATAAGGATGTGGCAAAATAATTGATGTAAAAAGAAATAAAGAAATGTATTTAATATATATATTAGGTATATAATATGACTAAAATGTAAATGTAAATGTAAAATGTAAATGTAGTGTTTATTTAATCCCTTCTGCTATTTCATAACATCTTGCTGTTAAGTCACTTTCTGGAATAAGTAATTCACATTTCACATAAACAATCTTTAAAATTTTATTGATCTACAATAACATCACAAGATTCATATATTTATACAAAAATAAAATCTAACAAAGTAAAAATTGTTGCATGCAGCAAGGCATTGAACAGTAATATGGTCCAAAGTGTATTAGAATTATTAAAAGCATCATACTGTATATTAGGTCCTCTACTCTTCCAGCTTCTGACATGTGGGGTTTCTAGATAATGCATTACAAGTGCTATAGATTGTATATGCATGGTGTGTTCACCATTTATTTGCATATAAATTTGCTCAGCCATTCACTCATCATATATGATTCTAATTTCAAACTGGTCTGGTAGGCTATATTCATGATTGTGTGACACAAGTAAGGATCTTTACAGAAGACTTTCAAAACCAACCACACATTTTGACTTGCTGATTCTTTTCCTTACTAAATTGTCATTCAATAATATCTTTGACAGACATACACTATAACGTTCAAAAATCTGGGGTCAGTATGATTTTTAAAAGTGTTTCTGAAAGAACTCTCATGCTCACCAAAGCTGTATTCATTTGATTAAAAATACAGTAAAAACAGCAATATTAGGAAATGTTATTACAATCCAAAATAACGGTATTCTATTTAATATATAAAAAAATTTCATTTATTTCCAGCGATGGCAAAGCTGAATTCTTCAGTGTCACATGATCCTTCAGAAATTATTCTAATATGCTGATTTAGTGCTCAGGAAACATTTCTTATTATTATCTATGTTGAAAACAGTTGTGCTGCTTAATTCTTCTTTAAAAACTGAGATACATTTTTTTCAGGATTCTTTGATGGATAGGAAGTTCAAAAGAACAGCATTTATTTGTCTTTGTTTTACTTTTGATCAATTCAATGCATCTTTGCAGAATAAAAGTATTTATTTCTTACAAAAATAAAATGTTTTAACCCCAAACTTTTGAACATAGTTCATAAATGACAGGTCAGCTGACAACTATGACAGTCAGAACTGTAAATTTCATACCCAAAAAACAAGATGAGTCTCTTCCAACTGACATTATCATCCACCATATTTGTACCTTCACTTTTATTCTCACTGTTTTTTGCTTCCGGTGCCTGTATCTTTGGTCACTGGGCCATCTGGACAACCACTGCTTTCCATGTCTTCTCTCTGTCAAAATCCCTTAGTGTGCCATTTGATGTTTGTTGCTGTAGGAAAAGAATGAGACGGTAGAAAAGAAATTACCTTAAGGTCTTCCTTTGTTAATCACAACATCATTTATGTGGGTTGTGACGAAATCACAGAGGTGGAACAGCTCTACCATTCCTCTGTGACTGTCTTTCATGCTACAACTGGCACTGTGCAATACAGTTTTCCATTTTTTCTCTCTTGGCTAACATCATGTGCACAGTCATACAACACACACACACACGCGCACACACGCGCGCGCACACACACACACACACACACACACACACACACACACACACAGTACAACACACTTCCTGTACTCTTAAATTGTCATTTATTTCATAGGGTGTATGCTTGTGTGTTTACCTCAGAGTACTTTTTGTGTAGTGTGTCCCATTCAGTAGCTCCTGTGCGGAGCTGGCTCTTGTAGGAAGCACACTTTACTATGGTGGCTAATGTCAGCACCGCTTGCACCAGCAGCAGCCCCATCAGGACAAGCAGCAGTATGTCATTCAACTGCTGCATGCACAACATACATTCAAAAACGTAATATATTTTGAACATCCTTCAAGATGGGTGTAAAGGTGAAAATGTATAAAGCTAAAATAAATGTAAATATTAGACAAAAAATTAAAATAAAAAAAAATTAAATGAAAATAAGAAATGTTGCCTCGGCAACTAACTGAAATAAACAAGGTGAAGTACTAAAATTACTAAAATAAATTAACGCTAAATATCATTATTTAAAAAAAAATGATAAAAAGCACATACCAATATTAATAAAACTTTAAAAAAAGCTAATTAAAAACTAATTCAATTCATGCACCTCACGATGACTACAAAAAAAGATAAAACAATACAATGAAAGTCTTATGAAGCCATACAATAGCTTTGAAAAAAAGAAAAGAAATGAACAGGATTAATGTTGCAAAGTTCTTCAATTATGAAACAAATACAATTTCAGCTGTAAAGCAGATCCAAAAAGACAATAATGTCATTATTCTGCTCAGTATAGTATATAGGGATGGTAAGATTCACCGATTCGCATTGGCATAAAAGTTAAAGTGTGCATCGGATACAAGTTGGCATTTGTATCGCAATGCATCGTTTCTAACATATTTGCATCAGTAAAAACCGTTTTATTTATATATAATTATTAGTAGATGCACTATACTTTTATTAATTAGAAAGTACTATCTGTACCATATTGAATTCCATAGCATCCTATTTTTTTCCCATTGCATTGTATTGCATTGAATCACATTGTGTTGAATTGAATCGAAATCAGATTGCACTACATCGGTAGCTGCTTCATATGTATCTTTAATGTATCGTATCGTTGGCTATGCATGGAGATGCGTGTCGCATCAGCCTCAGTTGGAAATGCACATCCCTAATAGTACTATTATATGCTATTATTGTATTTATTAATATTTTGAATTAACATTTATTTTTAGATTTTCAGTTTTCATTTTAATTTGAGTTTTAGTCATTTTTGTGGTTTTGTCCTTTTTATAAGTTTTGTTTTTCTATATAGCTTTAATTAGTTTTTATTTCAGTTTTCATTTCATTATTTTCTGTTCTTCAACATATTTATATCAGATATTTAAATTTTCTGACATTAATAGTTTTAGTTAACAATAACAACACCACATAAAGATGAGTCAATTTTCATTTTTGGATGAGCGATCCCTTTAAGGGGCCACAAAGGTCAAAATCGGACATATTGGAACTACTTTAATTTGATTGGTGTGGTGCACAGAAATGCCTCACCTTTGCTAATGGCACATCATGCAGAAAGATCTCAATAAAATTAATCACGCTGTTGGACAAAAATCCAGAAGCTGAGAAAAGCAGTGGTGAGGTCACACTACTTATAGCAATCAGCATTTCCACCTACAGCAGTAAAATTGAAAGGCGGAAAGAAAGAGAAAAAAGAAGGCAAGAGACAGTCTTTAGAAGGAATCACTCTACAGAGAAGGCAGACAGACAGCTAAATGAGTGAGAATGGTGAATGTCCTTTAGGGACGTTCGATTTCACTGCTTTATTGCTGGAGAGACCCTGATGGTGACTCACCAGACTCTTGCTGGGATATTCTGCCACCACATGGCTGGCAATGGCACTGGGGAAACACTGCAGAGATATCACACACACAAACAATGATAGTTAATCACTCTGAATAATTTATCATCTGAATTGAACTAATATTTAATATAATAAACTGAACTCACAGCTACTAGAATCCAGAAGAAAGTGACAGAAAGATATGGCTCTGGGAGGAGAGCACCCAAATTGAGAGCAATAATTCCTCCAAATACAGTGGAGATGCCCAATATAACCTCAATTACCTGCACCAGAGAAAGAGCAGCAAATCTACAGTAACCATCATGCTGATATACAGTGCATACACACACATACACACAATCTCATTTGAAGGCAACTCACGGCGTAAGCCTTGAGAAGACGAGTAGGGAACGAAGCTGGGGTCACAACCACAGACACTGGCTGGAGGAATGAGATGAATGATAGCAACGAGGAAAGAAAAAGAGCAGAGAGACATGAGCATATAAAATGTAATTCATATAAGCTAGAGACAAATACAGTTAGTCATAGATATATCACACTTCATCACAGTTAGCATAAAATAATTTTGCAATTATTTTGCAAATTAAAATAAAACTAAATATAAATATTAGCTGAAAAACTTAACCATAAAAAACCTAATCTAAAAATTATAAATGAAAGCTTAAAAAAAGACAAGTACATTTTGCATTATTAAGATTTTTTTTTAATCACATTGTATTATTAAAAAATGAAGGCAAGATATTACAGGCAAAAATATACGAATCAATTCAGAAATCTAAATTTCCATCAAACAGACAAAATTCATTATGAAAGATGTTAGATAATTATTTGTTAATATAATATTCATTTCCCGATTGATAACACAATTTGTGTAAACACAGGCCAAAATAATTGTAATGCAGGCAGTCTATACACATACAGTAAATAGTAGAGCAGATACTCACACACACACACACACACCAACACACCAGTCGTCCGCTGAGCGTGCTGACAGGATAACAGTACTGGCCATGAGCACTTCCAGCACAATAAGCAGGAGCAGGTTAAAGTTAATCTTTAGGATGACAAGACAGCAGTAACTGTTTTAATAGTACAGATGTTTTACATGCACATTATAGTTGTGTGTGTGAACATTGTTACAAGTGTAACCATGCAGTGTATTTATTTCTACTGTAAATGTATAAACATACTTCTACCAGATCCTTTAAAATAACTTTTGCTTTGCCATTGTCATATTATATATTATACTAGACTTGAGCCAAAGCATTTCATTTTGAAGGACATATTTCTAGGGTCCCTGACAGACATTTTAGGGGTATTAGAGTTGTGATGTTCTCACATTGATGGCTGAGGGACTAATGGCGAGTCTACAACCGAACCACACCAGACACGTGGTTGTCACTGCAAAGGACGACACATACACCATTTGAAAGTCAGAGACCTGTAAACATAATGTAGGTTACACACTGTATTTGTAAAACAGTAAAGAAATATTTATCTGCCAGAAAGAAAAAAAATCAATTGAGCATCTCAGTTAAGGCGATTATACAGTATTTGAACACATTTATTAACACTAAATATATACCACCAAATAGAAAACACTATGATTTATAGCCCTATGAACTGAAAACCTGACTGATTAATAGTGTTTGACTACATTTTTGAATAATGTCTTGGACAAAGTTAGAGAACCACTTATTCCATTAAAGAATTTTTAAAACTCAGGGAATGTTTTAGTTGAAAGTGTTTGATTACTTGGTTTGTTCAGCTTAAAAGCTGTGTGTGTAATACAATATTACAAAAAATATCCTTTCACTTACTGCAACTTGTTTATTCTTGGCAATAGTGAAGCTCACCACTGCAGCTGGTATACTCTACAAACCAGAAGCAAAACATATACGAGTGTCAAACGGTCCAGTGGCCTCTTTCATGAGCATATGAGTCCTTCAGGACAAACACTCACAGATCCAGCAGTACAACGCAGGTAGTCCATTGCATCTGGAAACACATTACCCATGTAGAGGGAGAAAGCTGCCACTATTAGCAAGCTGCTCTGGGGGTCAGATACAAATGAACACTCAGCCATTTGAGAAAATCAGTGTGTTAAAGGAATATTTGACCCAAAAATGAAAAATCGTGGCCATCCACGATCTAGATAAGTTTCTTCATCAGAACTGATTTTGAAAAAATGTAGCATTGTATCACTTGCTCACCAATGGATCATCTGCAGTGATAAAAACATCACAATAATCCACAAGGAAACCATCAATTAACGTTGCATGCCAGAAACAAATCCATCATTAAGGGGTTTTAACTTCTGGCTGAAATACCAATCCATAATAATCTCTCAAAATCCACCAACATATTTGTTTAGAACTGTTTTGGACTGTTTTCGCTCATAAATGTGCTTGATCTGTGCATATTTCTCTCCTGATTCAGAAAATGTGACTTTTTCACTGGAAAAAGCAATATTATGGACAAAGGTTGCCGGAAGCAACAGTTTGTAGTTAAAGACACCTTAATTTTGCATATGTTTGTTACAAACATGCAGCTTTACACTTCACAAGATGTTAATTGATGGACTGCAGTCATGTGGATTACTTGTGGATTATTGTGATGTTTTTATCAGCTGTTTGAACTCTCATTCTGATGGCACCCATTCACTGCAGAGGATCCATTGGAGCAAATGATGCAATGCTAAATTTCTCTAAATCGGATCTGATGAAGAAACATTCTCATCTACATCTTGGATAGCCTGAGAGTGAGTACATTTTTAGCAAAGTCTCTTAGCAACAGGAGTGAAAATCTGCTGAGTCAAAGCTGTTACCCCTATAACGATGCTGTAAAGCCAGACTCTGTAGCTAAAGCAGGGATGTAATGGCCCAGGCTGATCCAACTGCAGGTCACTGGCCCTGACATCCACTGTGTAGCTGTCTCTCTCCAACCTCTCCTGCTCCAGATGCCGACTCAGCGTTCCTACCCCACTGTTTCGCTCCAGGGTGGACATCTGGGCATAGCTGAATACTTCCTGAGCTGATGCCTCCTCTCGTTGCATCCTGATATCCATGACCCCTAGAAATCCAATCCATATAAATTACATATATTGACCAAGCGAGAAAAATTTTTAGTGAATGCAAACATTCACAGAAGCAGGAAATGTGTCTGGCTTACATACTATTGACAGTTTGCTATGTGATGCTTTTAATGACACTTAAACTTACCTCAGTTCCCCAAAGCCTTTATATGGAATGCAACACATTATACCTGTTACTTTTCTCAGAGCATTTGAAGGTCATTCAATGATAAATATTTCTCATGTATTCCCAGGGAATGCATGAACTGAGGATCTGATAAAATGTATACTTTGAATGCAATGCAAAGTTGCTTTGGATAAAAGCGCCTGCCAAATGCATCACTGTAAATCTAACAGTCACTTAATGTTAATCTTTAAAAAAGTTAATAATTTAATAACATTGTTAAATGCAATTATTAGCAAATCTCATTTTTTATACTGTACATTGTGATGTCCCGCTTCAATTAATCTGTAGCATTTAAAATGATCGATTTTAGTTTTCAGCATTTTATTTTTACTTTGTTTATACAAAATACTATTATTTTATACTGTTTTATTTTACACTAAACATTTTTGTTATTGTCAACTAAAACTAAAACATTGTTTTGTTGCCATATAAATATGAGATATAACTATATTAAGATATAAATAAATATTAGAAACGAACTGAAATAAAATTAAGTTGAAGTACTACAATTCAAAAATATAAAAATAAAATCGAATACAATATAATAAATTATATATAATAATAATCTGATATAATGATTAATACTACTATTAATAATTATTATTATTTATTAATAGAATAAAAATATATTATTAAATATATGTTATTATTATTATTGTTGTTGCTGTTATATAATTGTTGCCTTAACGGTATCGGTCAGAAATTTTTATATCATCCCTATAGTCTTCTTGAACAACAGAGCAGTTTTTCCAAAACTAACTAATGAAAATAACACGTTTATATTCTCCCCAATATTATGCTAACATAAAAAGTGCCAGACTGAACAGATTTACTTTTAGCGTCTTGCTTTATTTAATAAATTTACATTTTTAAAATGACTTTTTTTTTTTTTCAAAGTTCTTAATTAGGCACAGCTGAGAAAACATATGGACCATAAAACAATGGCTTTACAGTGACATATCCGCAACCCGCTGCATTTTACACTCCGTGACAAGCTTTTTTTATTTTTACGATTTGAAGAGAGCAGGGCTTGAAAGTGCTCCAAGAACACAAAAGTGTGCTAAAAACACCATTTTCTTCTTTGCACAGATAAAATAATCATACAAGACCTATGAGCTCTCATTGCCACATTTCACTAGTAACTACCAATATCTCTGCATCCAGGGAGGAAAAAAAAGAATATTTTTGGTCAACAATAAAGAAATAAAACGCAATCAAACTGCTCCCTCTTGAAAACCCACACGCACAATGAATATAGAGTACTTTCACGGTATTACGTAAACAGCCATGGAAACACAGAGCAATAAAGAGGATGCAGTGCGGGGATAATGCATGAAGGCAATGATTCATAAAAAAGTTTGAAACACATCAACCCCTCCCCAGCCTTTTCTCCTCAACTTCATTCTGAGCCTCACTTCCTGTTCTCCATTCATTCATCTTATCTCTCCAGCCCTCTTTATCTTAATCTCTGCTTCCCACTCACCTGCCTCCAGCTTCAAGACACCGCTTATTTCAGCTTGGCCCACCTGTTCCCCTGTTCCTGTGGAAGTCTAAGGTTTTAGTTGTACTTTATCTTTGTCTTCTTCCTCTTGTTCCTCTCCTTTCTCTCTCTGTCCCCTCCACTCCAAGTCAATTAAAAAGTTTTGGAACGCTTCAAAGCCTGGAACAGAAAGTTGAGAGTGTTGCCCTGCCAGCCAGTTTTAGCCAGTGAATGCAAATAGAGCAGAGAGATGGGGCTCAGATCAGGGGCTGCTGAGCTCTGTTTAACTCAATGAGAGAACTCACACATAAATCAACAGCCCTCGCTGCCATACACACAGACACACACAGAAAGAATGCACACAACCTAGAATGAGTTTTCCCTGCATGCACACACAATCAGGCACCCACAAACGTTTCCTTTCTTCATGCATGTGATTGCATTCCAAACAAACGTTGGAATAATTAAGAATTTTTTTAGTTTTTGAAAGAAGTCTGCTCATCAGGGCTTATTTTCAAAAATAAGTAATATTATGAAATATTATTACAATTTAGAAGAAAGTTTTTCATTTTGAAATGTAATTTATTGCTGTGATGGCAAAGCTGAATTTTCAGGAACTTTTCCTCTAGTCTTCAGTGTAACATGATCCTACAGAAATCATTGTAATATGCTGATTTGGTACTCAAAAAAAAAAAAAAAAGAATCTTAATAATATTATCAATGCTGAAGTATTAATTTATTTTTTTTTAATCACACTTACCCAAAACATTTGAATAGTAGTGTATCACAGTTTCCACAAAAATATTAAGCAGTCCAACTTTGATAATAATAATAAATGTTACCAAAATCAGCATATTAGAATGATTTCTGAAGAATAAGAGTAATGACTGCTGAAAATTCAGCTTTGCCATCACAGGAATGAATTGTATTTTAAAATATATTTAAAAAGAAATTATTTTAAATTGTTATTTTAAATTGTAATGATATCTCTGAATATTACTCTATTTAATGTACTAGTTATCAAATAAATGGAGCCTTGATGAGCATAAGAGGCTTATTTCAAAAACATAAACAAAAAAAATGAATTATCCCAAACTTTTAACTGGTTTAAACTGGTGGTGTATGTGTCAACAAACAAGATACACACACAGTTCTCGTTGCATAACAAGTTCAAATTAAGCTGTGCAGTCCTGCAATTCGCTCTTGACTCCTCCCACCTGGGCCTCCGTTTTATGGGGTGGAAAAAACAAACCAGAGATTTGGGACGTCCCCCAGGGCTTCTGAAGTTTGCAACCAGTGGGTTCATAAACAGGGTCTTTAATCCTAGCACATTTCAGAAGATTCAAGTATTTTTTCATACACATCTTTGAAGTGATTGAATCCGACCTATTTCATATCACAATCATAAATGCCCATATTTTGGCTTATATGTATAAAATAGATAAACAGGAGGAGAGCGAGTGTATGTGTAAAAATGCTCACGGCCGTATTCGTTCACATCAGTGCTACTGTTCAAAAGTGTCTTTGAAAGGCAGTATCCATGGATACCTTTTAAACAGCCCCCTTCCACTGGCTGGCCACCATACTTCACTGCCCTCTGAATATGCTCTACACAAAGATCACACGCTCATGTGGACACGTACACACACACTCAAGGCATGCCAAGCCACTGAAATCCCTGCAGATGCATTATTGATTCACTATAACTCAGCTTTCAATACTCATTTTAGGGGTTTATGAGGAAAAGAGAAAAAGTCTAAAGTTTGTGAGCAGCAGCAAAGAGAAACTTTGATGTTTCTTTTTATTTTCACCTAAATCACAAGGCAAATCTCTTCATAGGGTCCTGATGGGAAAGCACTAAGCACACACACTATAAATGCCCAGTGGTCCTTTAATATGGGAGAATGTCAAACAGCTTTAATAGTACTGGCTATCTTGAAACATACATTAATTGGGGATATGCATTTAAAGACAAACATTTAAGGCAAATCAATTTTTACTTTATAAAAATTCTGGTAATGTAAAAGCAAGTACACTCACGTGAGATGAAGATTGAAGTCGTCAGTTGCCTAATAAAAAGCTAGCCTATTTAACGTATATGGAGCGACACTTAATGTAATAGGTGCTGCCATGTTAATATCACATGACAAGTCGAAAATAATCGCCATTTTGAACCGGTTCTTTTCAGTGAACCGTTTAAACTAAATCGGGCTGAATCGATGTGTTAGAGACTGCGACTCGAATAGGAGTTGCATGATACTAATCTTAGTGATGTTTGCTTTCACTACATTTTCTTTGAAGTTTACAGCTCCAATTCGGAAATCGGATCCGATCGTAGTTCTGGAGTTCACGAGTGAGAACCACATCGGGCATGAATCGAAGTTATTGACGGGCAAGTTCGATTCACTGCTTCACGAAGCTTCGAAACCTTACAGATCTTGTGTTTTGAATCAGTGCTTCGGAGCGCATATCACACATCACATCATTTCATCTTAAAACAAGTTCCTAAAATTCTGTCAGTAAAAGTGTTGTTGCAAACGTGTTGGTAGATAACAAGTGTTACAAATTAATAAAAGACTACTCATTATCTTAGGCTATTTAATGACATTTTAAACATAATATTTTGCAGATTACCTAATGCACATTTGAAACTCTTGTGCAGCTGCTTTTGTTCACATTGCTGTTCTTCATGCATTTATAGCATTTGAACCAGTATGCCAGAGTTTTCAAGCGTTTTGAAACACTGAATTATTTTGGGAAGCAATTAATATTATTTTTTTTGTTTGTTTGTTATTTATATATATGTTAGAATAATATATATTCCAGGTCTTTGACACGTGGTGTAAAACATGAAAAATGTCCTCTTAGAGGTAAATATGCTCCTATAAATCCTTTAAAGGGGTCATATGATGTTGCTAAAAAGAACATTATTTTGTGTATTTGGTGTAATGAAATGTGTTTATGCCGTTTAAAGTTCAAAAAACACATTATTTTCCACATACTGTACATTATACCAAACAAAATAGTTTCGCTTTCACAACGAAACACACGGCGGGCAAGAGTGAGCGGAGGCTGGAGGCCTAGAGTGAGTGGCAGCGTGCGGGCTTGAGAACGGCACGGCCGGCGGATTCGACGAAGGAGCGGCTGGCAGGCTTGCAGCAACCACATGTGATGACCCCGGGCTGGAATCCGCTTCGTCCACGGTGAAAGCCGATCTGGC